AAAGGAAAAAAAGATATTAGGATATAGTGGGAAATAATTAGGAAGTGTAGGACAGCTAAGGAACAGTGGATTGATAGGATGTGTAAATAAGTAGAAAAAAAGTTTGAAGTAGGTAGAACCGATGAGGCGTATAATATAATTAAAAGGAATTTTAAAGATGTAGGGTACAGTAATAATAATATAAGAAACGAGGCAGGGGTCATTTTGATAATGCGGAAAAGGCAGACAGGTGGAAAGAATACTTAGAGAACCTATACGTAGGCCCTGAGTTAGGAGATTTATTAGAGAAGATAGTGTTGAGATAGATGAGCTAGGTTATCCCATAATGAGAGAAGAGTTCGACGTAGCATTAAAAAACTTAAAGAATAATAAGGAGCCAGATGTAGATGGGATACAGGGGGAAATTCAAAAACATGCAGGACAAGAGATTACAGATCGTATGTTTAAGGTAGTCAGCCACATTTACGGGACATGGACGTGGTAGTAGCCATACCTAAAAAGAGGCGCGGATAGATGCGAGACATTTAGAACAATTAGCTTAACTTCCCATGCGTCAAAAAATCATAACTAGAATTGTACAGAGGAGGATGGAAAAAAGGGTGGAAGAACTATTAGGAGAAGATGATGATGATGATTCTAGCTTTACGTGTAACAATAGAGAAAACGATAGAAAAAGGAAAGAGCACGTACATAGGATTTGTAGATTTAGAAAAAGCATTTGACAATGTTAAATGGGACAAGATGTTAAATATACTTAAAAATGTAGGGATGAGCTACAAAGATAGAAGAGTGTTACTTAGTTTGTATAAAGAACAACAGGCAGTTATAGAGCTACGGTTGCAACGTAGAAAAGTAAATAAGGAAGGGAGTCAGAAAGGGATGCACACTGTCACTGCTACTTTTTAATCTATACATCGAAAACGCGAACAAAATTATTAAAGACAGTACAACTGTAGGGATGGATATACAGGAGCAAAAGATTAGTATGCTTAGATTTGCTGATGATATAGCAGTATTAGCATCTAGCAAGGAGCAGTTAGAGAGCTTTAAATAAAATGGAGGCGGTACTGACAAAACAGTATTACTAAAATACTGATATGCAAGGAAAGAAAAAGTAGGAAAAGAGGGAATATAAAAATAGGAGACCAAAAATTAGAAGAAGTGGCTGATTTTAGATATCTAGGAAGTCAGATAAGTTAGGACGGAAGGAGTAATAGGGATATAAAGCAGAGGATAACGCAGGTTCGTGTCGCCTTTAATAAAAAGAAGTCACTTTTATGCTCGCGAACGGTTAATTTAGAAATTCGTAAAAGGTTGTTAAAGGTGTATGTTTGGAGCGCGGCGTTGTACAGTTGCAAAACGTGGACAATGGGCGCGGCGGAAAAGAAAGGGTTAAAAGCGTTCGAAATGTGGTGTTATAGACGAATGATGAGGATAACGTGGGTAGAAAAGGTTAGAAATGAAGAGGTACTAGAAAGAATAGGAGAACAGAGGACTCTATAGAAGTCAATAAAAAATAGGCGAGATAAGTTTTGGTAGGACACCTTCTCAGACATGAACGTCTTGTTAGAGACATATTAGAGGCAGAAGCAGGAGTTAGGAGGGGTAGAGGTAGACCTAGATTAGATTATTGTTCCCAAGTAGTTAAGGATGTGAGTTGTTCTAGTTTTAGGGAAGTGCGAAGTTTAAGTCAGGATAGGAAATCAGCCATCGACGTCCTTATGATGATGATGATGATGATGGTGAGTCTTTTATAACAGTTTGCTCTCTTCGCACTATACCTCACTTCAAACCCTACCTTTTTCTAACCTCTCCGAAGTACGGTGGTCCGTATAAAAACGCAAACCCTTGATGCAAAAGTACACGCTCGACTCGACTCGACAGTGTTATATCTATAGTTTGTACACAATGTCTGCTCTTATCGCAACCCTGACCTACTATAAAAGCTCCCGAATCTGTGTACTCTGGTAGATTCCTTCGGACCGAGTACGCAACGTCCGATTGGATTAGTATATCTACTGTATGTAGCTCTGTACCTAATTTCTAATTTTTCTATTAAAATAAAGGTTTATGTTGGTTTTATTAAAGTACTAAAGTTTTCTTTTTAAAAACTTAAAATTTAAATTTGAATATATAACATTTTTGGCGACGAGGATTGGATTGTGCGGCGAAAACCATCAGTAAAATTTACGTGCGTTTCCTCTACTGAGTGGATTATTCGTTCTGCCGATCACGAAGAAAATCTGAATAGCTTTTCCAGGCCCACNTAATATATATATGTATATACACACACTGTTTGACAGCCGAACGCTCCAGCCGTTCGTATCTACAGTCAATAGCATTTGGATTCAATTTTTATTTATTGTTCCAGTCTAACAGCAGTAGCTCAGCCGTTCAGTAGGTAAGTGTAAACTAATTTTATTGTTTTATTTTAACTTTTAACTAGCCTACAGTTCTTTGGGACGTACTACATAATACCTCTCTGAACATACACGACTCCACCCGACATAACCTAACAAATGCCGGAGACGAATACCCTTCCTATCATCGTCTTCGTCAACGTTCACTGACTCTGAGTCGGATACGGAGCAACCGAGCCAAGGCTCTAAAAATCCCTCATCCATTGTTATCCGCCCTTTGACCGAAAATTCATGGACAACCACGGTATTACCGCCAGTTGAACCATTAACACCCAAGAATCGATCAGAGTCTACCTCAACTCCGTGGACGATTTTCGTCGCCTATCGTCGTACCTCTAAAGTTGAGTTCTCAATCAACCAAGTTCAACAAGACAGGGGCCTTCATGTCGTCCTACAAGGAGTCTGCGAAGCCATATCCACGAACGATATACAGTTTGAACTTCTTAATAAAGGCTTCGCCATCGAATGTCCCCTACTCTGGTCACTCAAAAAAGCGTTCAGGCAGAGAGTAGCCCCCCCCCCCCACTCCTATCCAAAAGTCCAACGCAATCACAAACATCTCTTCACAACTCTGGAACAGAAACTTCAGGGTATCGTGCAGAGTGGAGGTGCGTGTCCAACCAGTCTTAAGACTTATGAGCTTATGATGATGAGTTACCTGAAATGCCCAAAGCATCCTCGTTAACAACTCTTTAAAACACAGGCCCATCACTTTGACCACTAAATCATTAGAAACAGTTGGCATTGAAGTCTCGCTAACTTTTGGCCTCCACAGAATAATTTTTCCCCCATCTGAATTAAATATTTCGGATTTTCCCGTCGCAGACGACCTTAATGCCAAACACCCCTCCTGGGGCTGTCGAAACACTAACAGAAAAGTTATTTCTATTCTTGCCAAAGTCGGCCTCAACCTCGCCGTTGAAGCGCCCTAGATCCTACGTAGCACTCTGCTCCCCCCACAATAAACTTTCTGACATTCTTTTCATCTTCATTTTAAAAAATGTCACTCTTTCTGCCGATCCCACAGTTCTCGCCGCTCTAAGCTTCGACCACCTTTCAGCCCTAATAGAGTTCCCCCTCAAACCTTATAACTTCACTAGACTGACTACGTCTCTGCTACACTCTTGAAACATCCTCCTTCAAGTGTACTTCAATTCGCACAATAGCGGAACTCGACGAAGCTACCAATCTCCTTCCAAACGAGGTTACCAGCGACATCGAGATCTCCTCGACCTTCCGCCCTTCTTGTTCCCCAGGGAATCCTCTCCATGCAGACATCCTTGTCTTCGTCAAGAGAAAAAACAAAACCTGCCATCTGTTGCAAAAACACCGTGATCTCGCTTAAAACTCGCCTAACGTAATTCTGCAGCGCCATCTGCTAAGATTACATCGCTCAGGTCGGGTAAGCATAATCGTGTTGTTTCCGCTTTAGTTGATACCTGACGTAAAACCTGTTTACTGCAAACCACGAGCTGTGACATCTAACCAGTAAATAGCAGTGATTGGGCTACGCTGATAGTCCCCGTTTTGAAACCTAACGGTCAAATTCGAATTTGCGGTGATTACAAGATTACATTAAACTCTAATCTTGTTATTGTTCGTCCTATAACGCGTGTTCCGAATCTTTTGATCCAATTGAAAAATTGGCGAGTATTTTTAAACACTGATCTGACGCAGGCCTATCAACAGATTGAATTGGATCAGCCGTCTAAAGTCTTAACTATAATATCAACGCATAAACAGTTGTATATTGCATGAGCTATGGTAAAGCTTCGTCTCGTGGACTTTTTCAACGTTCAAATGTCCTTAAAACTCAGTCCAAACAGCAATGCTACTTTAAAGGGAACAGTGAACTTGAATTTGCGCGAGATGATCAAGTAAATGGTCTAGCAAAAGATTATTCTACAAATCATTGCCATGAAGCTGAGGTTATTGAAAAGTTCAGTCTGGTTACTTATAACGTTCGTACAGATGATAATCGCATCTGGAAAAGACACACAGATCAGCTGCGTGCTCGCGAAAAGAGAAATTATTCCCGGGACGTAGTTGTATAGGCATCGTAAAATATTGTAATCGAGAATTTACCAGAGCCAGCTCAGATTAGCAAAAATAACTCAAATTTGAGTACTGATGACGCTCTAGCAAGTCCTCGTATAGGCTCAAATGTTCAAAATAAATCTTCAAATAATGTCGTCAGAGAAGATGAAACTCCAAGAATGCGTTGCTCCAAAAGAAATCCTAAACCAATTGTACGTATGAAACGGAAGATATGTTTACGTTAAACTCAAAAAACAATCAGAAGGATCATGGAAACCGGAAATATTCATTTCGGCGGTCGCTATGAAAACAATTTTTTTTATTCAAATTGGGGTAACTATACTAATTTACAGTTGTAATTCGCACGAGGTTTTCTTATAGTTACCCTCTTCAGATAATGCCGACTGTGACAACGTAGCAGCATTCCAATTTTAATTTATAAACAATCTACATATACGTCGTAGTAATTTATTGGTGATTTCTAATTATGGTGAAGAACGAACAATTAAAATTTATTTGGAGCCATAGTGAACGAAAACTTACTCGTCGAAATTGGTGTTGTGTATTCAGCGGTTGTTGTTTTTGTGGTCATAGGTGAACACTCAACCAAATCGTTCCAATTGCAAACATTGTACTTGATATCAAAATACAATCCGCTTGGACACTCCATCATTAACGCTCTTCCGTTAGTGCATGCATAATATTTGGAACAATTTGTTTCATGGCGAAGGAAGGAAACATCGGACGTGCCACAAAGTTGTGATTCCACGGCATCCCCATAGAAAACACTAGTAGCATCTAAAACAAATGACAGAAATTGCATTGTTATTAATTATTTTATTGTTCATACATATACGAAATATCAATTTTTGTACCTAGACAATAACAACCACACATGATCCGTAAGTGCTATCTGTGGAGGGATAATAAGTTAAATTTATCCATTTATATCAACCTACGACGAAACCAACACACGCACTAAATTAGAACAACAACCTGTTGGTGAAGGGGTTTGTTGGTTTGTTAATGTTTAGAAACCCTGTTGAACATTAATGAACCTACAATTCGTAGCAAGTTTTTATAAAAGATGACGATTACAGGCTCTACCTTGATTTACGTAGTGTAGTAAACGCCATCTATATGTAGAGATTTGTAACTGTTTCTCATTCTAAAGCTTCGGTTCGGCAGTTAAAACTACGGAAAAATAATAATTCTATAGTTCCATTTATGTCTTTGATTACGGTACCGCTGTAACTGTGCCCTTATATTCCGTTTTTAAATTGTAACGAACATTTTCGTGTCCGACAACATTTTCAAAATAGGAATTTTTGATGTACTTTAAGCGTAAGACAGAGAATGTATTCTGCATACTTATTTATTTGCTTAAAATGTGCATTTCTGATTCATATCACTGGCGTTATCGTAGCTTTACCAACAACAATCATTGATTTCAATGCCACTCTCACTTAAAATATTTAATAAGCTTTGAGTGAGTTGTTCAGTAGCATTCCTTCCATTACAAATATGTCCACTGTAATAGTATGCTTTCGACAGCTTTTTGGGGATGACGACTCTAGATCGAGAGGACTTCTGCTTTTAAATTCTGTTTGGCTAGAACCCAATGTAGTTTTAGAACGAATTATTGTCTCTTGAAATATAGTAGATATCATTATACTTTTTCATCGGTAACAGACATAACTTCTGTATTTTTAGTCTCAACTTCTGTAGATTCAACAGAACCCCTTTGAACATTAAAAAACAAAAGAAGTGATTGAACGTATTGTTATTTTGTGAAGTGGTTTGCTGCAGATGAAATTTAGTAGTGTTTAAAGATAGGAAGTTTAGTTTGTAAAAATAGTAGAAGGAACTTATCGTCAGTATTTTGATAAACTTAACAGTGTTATCAAACATGGAGTTACCAGATGGAATTGTGCTAATTAATGACGAACTTTGGGAAGTGATAACGGAAAATGCGTCAGAACTAGTTGATTCTGAATGGAAGAATAAGGACAATAAAGCTCATGCAACAATAGGTTGTATATCGGATGCAAAAACAGCTAAAAAAGCTTGGAAAGCATTTAAAGAATACCATCAGAAAGCATCACTGATAAGCAGCGTTTTTTTGTTGAAGAGATCCAGATTGCAACTAGAAGAAGATGGAAATATGGAAAAACATCATAGAGACACTTGATTTAAAGAACAAATTATCAGCATAGGGTGATTCCTACAATGGTTTAATTACGGGCATTGAATGTAGGTCAAAAGAAGGTCTCACATTAGATTTCGTCGTAGTAATTCATATTTCCCAGCGATAAAGAAAAACGAAGTAAATGAAAACTGTTAAGAACAATTAAGTTATGTCATATCAGAAGGAACTTTTTACAAAGGTAGATTGCAACAAAAAACTAGAAGTTCTAGAAGTTCACGAGGTTGGAACCGGTTTCATAAACTGTATCACAAAAGGCACTGAGTCGAAAAGAGTTGAAGTTCAAAAAGTGTTGTATGCACCTATGTTAGGGTCAAATTTATTGTCATTTAACAGATTGGTAGCTGGAGTATATGTGTTAAAATCTTATGAAGCATTGTGTAAAATCTCAAAGGGTGGAAAAATTGTAGGAAATGCATTGTCGAGTTCCGAACTTTATGAATTAAAAACAACCGACAAAGCATGTACCGTTAAAACTGCCCACACCGAGAACTGTCAACATACTTGGTATAGGCGTTCTGACCGTAGAGATTCAGAGGCAGTAAAGCAATTACCCCAAATGAACCTCACTACAGGAATAGAAGTGAAAGGTTGCGGACCAAAGGAAACATGCGACAGTTGTGTAAAAGGTAAATTGACCCGAAAATTCGAAAGAAAGTAAAAATAAGCCATACAATTCTCATCGAGAAGAGTTATTGTATCCCTTCTCATTTTAGAGATATGACATTGAAATTAAAAGTATAAAAGGAAAATTTAACCTATCTTAATTTTGGACTTAATTCGTACGGATGTTTGTGCACCAATGCCAACCGTAACACCTGGAAGGAAGAGATATATTCTAACAGTTATAGATAATTTTTCACGTTATATTACGATATATCTATTACAAAATAAGTCCGAGGTGCCTGGTCCCATCAAAAGGTTCGTTGAAATTGAAAAGATGTAAGTCGGAAGAAAATCAAAAATTGTGCGGTCTGACATGGGAAAGGAGTAGGTATGTGAATAAAGAACTCCAAGAATATTTAAAGAAGGAGGGGATTATAACACAATACAAAGCTACTTATTCGTCTCAACAAAACGGTGTCGTCGAGAAAAAGAAAAGGTGTCTTCTACAAATATGTCGCTGTATGCTTATCGACGAAAACCTGGATAAGAAGTATTGAGCAGAGGCAATTTTTACGGATAACTTCTTACAAAATAGATTGCCAACAAAAAGCAAGAACACAACACCGTATGGGCCGTGGCATTCTAAAGTTCCGGATGTCATAACTTCATACATTTGGTTGCGAGTCGTATGCATTTGTTCTTGGTGAGTTAAGGCAAAAGTTAGACAAGAAAGCAGAAAAGTTGGTTTTTTGTAGGATATTCAGAGGAATCCAAAGTCTATCGTTTACTAGACATGAAAATGAATAGAATAAAGATCAGTAGAAACGTTGTTTTTGAAGACATAACATCATCAAGAGAAAGCGAAATAGCGAGAAATCGGAATGAAATTCACCCTAGAAAATAAGGTTATCGCTGAAAAAAAAAAAAAACGATGTAAACAATCATGAGGCTGACGACCCGTCCCAAAGCTTACGACTTACGACGATCCAATAGATCTAATAGGTTCCCCAAGACCTTTTATGGGCACGTTAAAATTCACTCGAGAAAATGAGCCAAAAAAGGAAGCATTGTTCAGACCAGATGGGATTAATTAGAAGCAGATAATGGATGTAGAAATTAAAAGTTTGAAGAACAATAAAGCTTAGGTCCTAAAAGAAGGTCTAAAAGACAAACAGGTTGTTTCGTGCAAAAGGATATACAAGAAAAAATATGACGAAACAGGAAATATTAGCAGGTATAAAGCTCGACTAGTTGCCAGAGGGTTTTCTCTAAAGTATGGAGAGGGCTATGATAAAGTGTTTGCCCCAGTAGAAAAAACCGCTTAATTTAGGTCACTTTTGGCTAAAGCGTGTAAAGAGGGTTTACTTGTCAAATATTTCGATGGAAAGATTGCTTGCTTTTTTAAACGGCCAATTAAAAGAAGTCATATACATGCAACAACCAGAGGGCTTTACGGAAAAATGGAAAGAGAATTTTGTCTGCAGACTTCAAAAGAGTATTTTTGACTTAAAGTAATAAGCTAAAATATGGAATGAATGTTCAAAAGAAAGGTCAAACCGACTCATGTCTTTGCATGAAACCAATAAATGGTAAGCCAAGTATATATATTGTGAATTATGTAGATGACATATAAATTGCAGCAAAGAGTGAAGACGCAATAAAAGAAACATTCTATATATATTCAATAGAAACTTCGAATTAACAGATTTGGGTAATTTATTCCATTATCTAGGAATTGAAATAAAGAAAAATACTAACGGCATTTATTCATTAAAGTAATCCCAATATATAGATAAGATACTAATAAGAATTCGAGCTTAAAGATGCAAACATTTCGAAGACGCCAATTGACACAGGATACTTTAAGCACACAGATAAAACGATGATAACAAATAGCAAAAATGCAACATCAACTTGAAATCACTTTTCGATTTTGACCTACTACAAATTTCCTCAAATTAAAGAGGAAAAAATTTTTGTTGCTGTTGTCACCCTTCGTTGGTCAGAGCATTTGTGCGTAAAGCCAAAGGTCCCGGGTTCGATTCCCGGCGGGGGGTGACAACAGCAACAAAAATATTTTCCTCTTTAATTTGAGGAAATTTGTAGTAGGTCAAAATCGAAAAGTGATTTCAAGTTGATGTTGCATATTAACATTGACCACTATTAGTAATTTAAAACAATGTCTTAAATAGCAAAAACTATCAGTAGTTAATTGGTGTCCTGTTATACATCGCAGTTCATACACGACGAGAGATATATCGGAAAGTGTTACAATTTTAAGTCAATGCAACAGCAACTCTGGGAGTATGAACTGGTTAGAAGCCAAGCGGGTGGTGCGTTATCTAAAAGGGACAATGTTCTGTGAATTAATTCGCGAAGGTGATCGTAACACACATATGATCGGTTACGCAGACGTGAACTGGGCTGAAAATTGCAAAGATAGAAAATTGAATAATGGGTACTTTTTGTGTGGTCGGGGTGCCGATTAGTTGGGGGTGTTAAAAACAACAGTGTATGGCGTCATCTTCGACCGAAGCCGAATATATTGCGCTCTCGGAACTTTCGAAAGAAGCTGTGTGGTTACGTCGTATATTAACTTAACAGACCTCGAAGGAGTAATAAACAATCTTCGAAGACAATCAAAAAGCTGTGTGCAACAAAAAATTTAGTAATCGCACCAAACACATGGATACTAAGTATCATTTTGTAAAAAATCTGAAAGAAAAGAGAACACTAGATTATAAATATTGTCCAACTGATATAATGGAAGCTGATATGAAAACAAAACCTTTATTTTATGTAAAACTGAGAACTTTTGACTAAACGTGCTGGATTGATATAATTAATTGTATTTTTTGAACAATGTATTAAAAATGTAAAATTTATTATTGTCGGGGAGGCGTGTTATTCTTTAGTAACAAAGATGAATAAATATAAAACAAATAGGTGGCGCTCTGAATGCACGTGTTTGGCATTGCTACTAATTTTTATTTCATTAGTGTACTTTATCATTTTTACAATTAGTAAATGTGCAGGTCACACCATTTAGTTAATATTTACATTAATATAATAGTATCGAAAATATCACTTAGTAAATTTTTATTCAAGTGATAATGATAATAATTTGTGAGATATTGAGGATACCTTAGTGAGAGAAATATTTGAGAGGAAGCTTAGGTCAAAAAAAGTATTAATATTCGACGTACCAGAAAATAGTAAGGAGATTGATAAGACCTTTATAAATGATCTTTTTGGCGACACTCCAGTACTGCCAAACTTAACTAATCAACTCAGAATTGGTAAAAAAGTAATAAATAATAAGGTTAGGCCAATTAAGGATCTTTCTGATGCTGATGCACTTTGGTTGCTCAAGAGCAAAAATATTTGCCAAGATAATGTCTTACAATAAGTGATATGACGCAGCAACAAAGAGATAGGCGACTTCTTTTTCCAATGACCAGTTATTGAAATCAGAAAGCACACATCCACCATTATCAATATCAATTTATTTAAAACAAAATATTTATAAACCTAAGCCAAAGTAACTGTTTGACTTTAACAAAGCTGATTATCAAGTCATAAGGGATGATTTAGTCAAAATAGACTAGAACTTCATTACTTGCAAAAAACTTGTATTGATTAAATAATATAATTAACATGATAACAATCAGTTCCGTTCTATTAAAGAAAATAAGAGTAAATAGTTATCCCGTGAGGTTTGACCCAAAAATTATAAACGAGATTAATATAAAGAAAAATATCTTCATAAACTGTATAAATTCTTATTGAGTGTAGAAGCCTATAATAATAATTTAAAAAGTATAGAATAAACTCTAACCAGTTAATTGATAATGCCTACAAGTCTTATATAAGACACACTAAGAATTCCATACAGTTAAATCAAAAAAGAATTTGGGAGTTTGTAAAAAAAAGTGGCATTGTCGATCCCATTCCTTGGGTGTTTTGAAGCAATGAATTCTCAAGTAACGGATAAGAGTCTATTGACATCCTTGCTGACTGTTTTAACTCTACATTTGCTGATTCTCAAATATCTACTCATAATTTAGATGTAAGAATTTCTCAATCATTAAATAAAATTGATATACGTTCAACAGACGTTCTATTGCATATTAAAGTTTAAACAACACATTGGGTACCTACTGGGATTGATGGTGTTCTCATAATATTCATAAAAAATTGTTGTGCCGAGTTAACGAGACCGCTTTTTCTAGTCTTTCAAAGGTCATTAAGTGAATCTAGTTTCCCGGCAATGTGGAAGCATTCCTTCATTCCTCCAATTGATAAAAAAGGTAATCAATCGTTGTCAAATAATTATATACTAACAACAATGATGTTTTTAACAATGTAAAATATTGAATTCTTCGAATACATTCCGACGATCTGAAGCTATTGAGGGTTGTGAAGTGACACAGACTGCCAGATTTTACTAAATGATGAGGTTGATAATTGGTTGACCTTGAATGGCCCATCCTTAAATAGTAGTAAATGTGCCGTAATGTCGTACAAATAAATGTTCATGTTCGATTTGAATTTAGATGTAGTTATTTGTAACATTGGGCATCCCCCTGTTCAAAAATCGATTTCCCTTTTAAATTAAAGGTCAAGTACTGCAAGTTGTTCATGTTCAAGGCTACAATTTAAAAAACATATACATAAAGTTGTTGTCTGTTGTTGCCAGACAATTTGGCTTTATTATGAGGAGACAAAGAACTTTAATGACGTTACAACCATGACCTTGTTGTTTAATTTTAGTTAGTATTTGCTACTCTTGCTATGTGGCTAGTCTGCCACTGCCCCTCAGGTCTTTATTCAAATCTGGAAAAGAAAATAATCACACAGGGGGATGCCCCAGACTATACGGAGTTGAACTACTTCAAATACGCTGCAAATTGCAAACGTCTACAGTATGTACGGGGTTGTTATTGTAGAGCAGGAACCTGTTCAGGCGTTTCTTGTCCGTTCTTTAAAATCCACCAGCAAAATTCCTTGAATAAAATAACATGTCATACCCTGCCGCACATGACTATGTAATAGGTCAAGTGTTGTGGGGGTGCCTACGTAAAACACAGCGTCACAATCTCTCATATAATTTTTATTTTATAATTGGTTTTAGATATCAAACTCAGCGCAGTATTATTGTATCTATTGACAACGCATAACAATTCGATCTGAGGAAATTAAACAGAAGTACTTACAGTTCGTGTTTACGTTTAATTACCATTAAAGATAGTGTAAAAGTTGCAAATAGTACAATTTGTCCCCAAAATCAATACAGGGATTTTAATATTTCCATCTTCTTTGAAACTTGAACAATTTGCATAAACATGCCGGCACTACGCCTTGGATCGCGTTTTATTCGATTTATACTGCAGTTATAATGCGACGTAGCAACCGAGGGTTCAGAATTTAATTTCGACGAAGTTAAACACCAAAGAGCGAAGGAATCGGAAAGAAGACACAACCCATAATTTGAAATGCGAAAGTTCAAATATTATTTCAGTGAATACCTCAAGAATATTTTTTTTTTAATGGAATGTAAAGAAAACGATTTTCGTCCTCTTTAAAACAAAACTGAGAATCAGTAAATTGTAACTAAGTAGTTCTTCCTGTATTTGTGTCATTCTTTGATCCACGTAAAACCTAATCTGCCTTCACTTATATACTTTTCTGATTACCTGCCTTGTTATTTTTTATTTTCAGTTGTATCATTTTTCTATGTCTGGTTAACTTTTTGTCAAATGTTTTACTGAGTAACAAACAATTTGGTAGGTTGTGTACTTCGAATCTTTTCTAGTTTACTTTTCGCATCGAACAATAACAGTTTCAGGAAAAATCAAAAATTTTTCTTTTTTCGTATATCGCTTTCAAATCGTACTTATTTCTGGTGCTAAAACAGAAAAAACTGTCTTTTTCTACTTTTTCACACAGAAGACATGGAACCTCCCCTGTCAGGGCAGTGGAGTGTTTTCTGTCAGGAACGTTGCATGCGTGGTTTTTACCGCTGTCGCTATTATGAAATTGTATAGAAACGGCGTTAAAGAGTCAAGGTATCTTATAATGAAAATATAAGTGAAAATGATAAAGTTAAGAAGAAGATTATTAGATTTGAATTACGAAGAAACGGTAAGTTTTATATCCTTATTTCATTTCCCTTTTTTAGCAGCTAAAGCTTTTTGTCAAATAATGTCTTCGTTAATATATGCCAATGTCGTACGCAGCTATATTTAATACTATTTCCGTCATGAAAAAATCGGGTATCTGCGCATTATTTGTAAACTCTTCGGTGCGATCTGTGCGCTAATATTCCTCATTGTAGTTCCTGTAATGGTTAATTTTTTGAAACATTGCAAACCAAAGTATTGACCGTTAAGTGTAATGTCACGCCAATATACCGCCGAAACGTATCATATGCATTTGATACTTTATACACTTTACACCTGGGATTGTCAACTTGCGAGTTGCGACGTAGGTTACATGAAATATTGATATTTTGCGTTGCTAACGGCGTTTGTTTATGAGGGGTACAAAAAAAACTAAATAAGTTGATGTAGAAGTACGACAATGTCCATAACGACGAATAAGTCGAGAACGGTGGGTAGGGTAGGTTGACATTTTGTATAAGTAAAAATTTTCTATATTGAATATGTAGGGGAGGGGGGTAGTAGTGTGGATAAGATTTGGTTTTTGTGATCTTATCACCCTCCAATATGACGGCCATCTTGAAAAGGGATGCAATTCGTTTTTTTTGAAACGTATTCGCAGCGGCAGGTCATACAAAAAAACGACACCTATAATTATCTAAATAGACCATACATCTTTTTAGTACGAACGCATTAAGCTTTCAGCCAGTAATTTGTTGACGATACCAGATGTGTCCAACATTTGCAATACTTCAGTTATCAGCAAATATTGGATGACGAAATACTACTATAACTGGATATATTATAAACGTGCTTATATGGAGCACCTTCTATTTGGTCGGTAATTCTGTGTGATTGCTTATGACGTGCTGATGAGATTAAATAAGATAAAAATTACGATCCACGTCTGTTAATTTCGTCAATTTATTGACTAAGAATCTAATCCGTGTTTATTAATTTGCTTTACATGCCTTTCACGTAAATATATATAAATTGCGTCGTCGATTCAGTTGGACGAGTATATATATAGGTAATTCTCTAGTATTTTAGTTAGCCGCAAATATCAGTGGATGATGACATACTATCATAACTCGATATCAAATTAACGTATTTGTATGTTGCAAATGCAGTGGAAAAAACACACCTTGTTGTCAATGTAAATTTTAAAGATCACTGTTCCTCACGCGTAAACCCATTGTTCAGTGCAGCACAGCACATAAACTTACTCACTTACTGAACTACTCTGGTGCTTTTAATGTTATTTGCACTACGTTGCGATGAAACACCATGTTGAGAACAATAACTTTTAGTCGCTATTTAATTTGATTATTTCAAAATTTACGCTCAAATCGAAAACAAATGAGTTTTGAAAATAATATAAAACAAATGCGCTATGTAATAATTTGTTTATGCAGGGTGTCTCAGACATAAGCAACCGCCAGAAACGATGTGAAAGTATAGAAGAAATTATAGATAAAAAAACCCGTAAAATGTGGGTCTCTCTCATCCAGAAAAAAATATGGTCTACCATTGGGTATGCTGCTTTCAATACAGTTTTATTGAATTTATGTACTGTGCTGTATTGGGCAATGAGTACGGACAAGTTGCATTATTTATTGCAGTATTGCATACAGGCCGAGCGAAAGGGTCATCCAATAATTACGAAAAAAGAAAAGGAGAAGCTGATCATTGATCATGAATTTTTGAATTTATTTTAATTAACTTATTTGTTTTCAATATTAATTTTGAAGATCTACTTTTGCGTTTAATCAATTAAACTTACTTGTGATCAAATATAGAAGCAATATGCTGAAACAGCGACCCGGGACATCTAAGACGTTCTTTCCTAGAAAAAAGCAATAAATGATGTATTACATTACACTACGTAAAAAGTCAGATGAAACGATGTAAATACAAAACAGATTATATAGGACTATTAATAATTATGTACTTATCAATTGTAATTATAAGAAACCAAGAAATAAAAATGGCTCGTTCATTCTACCATTAGCAACAAAACTGGATCACTGCGTACACTCCTCGCTCGCTACGAACACTGTTGAGCCCGCTACCCGCTACCCGCGTACCCTTTTCTTTCATATATATATAGAGTGTCTTACAGTGACCACCTAATTGAATATTTTGGAAACTAATTCGATTTAAATTTTGGAAATTAGGACAAAGCGGAAGATAGCACAGGGTTGAGTCCCTTCAACAAAAAGGAGTCACTTCTATGCTCGCAAACGGTTAATTTAGAAATTCGAAAAAGGTTGTTAAACGTGTATGTTTGGAGTACGACGCTGTACGGGTGCGAAACATGGACAGTGGGCGCGGAAAAAAAAAGAAAAGGTTAGAATGTTCGAAATGTGGTGTTACAGGTGAATGATGAGGATACCGTGGTTAGAAGGTTAGAAATGAAGAGGCATTAGAAAGAATAGGAGAACAAAGGACTCTACGGAAGTCAATAAGAAATATACGAGATAGGCTAGTAGTTCACCTTCTCAGGTATGACGGTCTAGTCAGAGACATATTAGAGGTATACTTCACTTACTTTCTCTAGCGATGTGCTCCTTCTAATGTCTTGGATGCGCGCTGGCAAAATCGTAGAAAGGGAGAAAAATGCTCATTATATTTTCGACTCTTGTTGATTAAACATTCTTTTTCATACAGTACATGCCAAAAGTTTTGTTCAATCATGAATAGTCGTGCGAGTCGAAAACAAGCGTTAAAGTCCTTAATATGTCTTCAAATATAAATAAACATCTCGTTGATATTTTCAATAGTAAATGGTACCAATAATAGCACATTTGAGCAACGCAATTGTAGTTGATAAAATGGTCAATTTTTCCGTGCAGTACTGTACGGATTATACGCTCCTCACTGGTTAAGAGTTTGACCGAGAGTTGTCTGCTTTCTTTTCTGGCCTAGTGTTGTTCTTTTCTACTTTGCGCCGGTCAAACTGAAGGTCACATCGCTACAGAAAGTAAACGAAGTATAAAAACGGAAGTTAGGAGAAGTGGAGGTAGACCTAGATTAGATTACTGTTCGCAAATAGTTAAGGATATGGGTTGTTTTAATTTTAGGGAAAGGCGAAGATTAGCTCAGGATAGGAAAGTGTAGAGGTGCGTGCTCAACCAGTCTTAGGACTGACGATCTTTTATGATGATGGACAAAGCATTAAAATAACGGCATCTATATAGCACTTTCAGTTATACCGGAAGTCGACATCAACTTCGTTATTGTAAATGGAACATCCCCTGTATTATGACGGTTTGAATTCTACTAATGATTTAGGGCAGACTTTCATAAGACTTTCATATTTCTAAAATTTACAGTTTAAGAGTTGTTTTGGATAATATTGAAATATGCTGTTTAGATATAAATGTGAAGAAGAGGACAAAAAACTAAGATTAGAAGCGCAAGAGAAGATAACGTTTTTGGGAAGTTTCATTACTATTATATTATATTAGTACGACCTTGTATATTTTTGCCTTTTTATGTCTTTTGCTGATACTAAATCAATTTTCATATTTTTTGTCTCTTTTCTTATTAATTTTATGGGTTTTAACTTTATTACTTAAATTTCTTCTGCCAAAAATTTCTTTGGACGAGTTATCATGGCAGTGATTCAGTATATTTTCGATTATGGTATCAATAATATAGTCTGTTTTTAGGAATGCTTTAAATGTTCTTTTTGTGCACTGCCACCTTTTCACGGGTGTGTCTGTTAGAAACAACAGGGTTTTCATCGGTTGCTATAATTTTCTGTTCTAAGATATCGGTGTGTATATATAAAAGGATCTCAAATACTAATTCTAATTTGCGTAATTAATATATCAGGATGTTCCTGTTTATCTATCTATAAGTTTATGAACTATTACTGCTACTTATCATATATATTCGAATGGTATGAGTTCAAGATTTCCAATTTCCAATATTTGTTCAACATCGGTTATATTGATAGTCGATGTTATTTTTTTCTGTTGCTCTGACTCCCTAACTATACTATCTGGTATTAGAACAATGTTATCAAAGTTTAATTTAAGGAATAAATATTCTTTATTTATCTATTGTTTTACTAGAATCTTAATGATTTACTCAATATGGTATCTTTATCATTTTTTGGTTTGAATTTGACTTTTCTGTTGTTTGGAAACACTAAATATTTGCTACTATAATCAATTAGTGTATTGTTACTCGAAAAGAATTTTGAACCTAAAATACCATTTACTTCTAAATTAGTCTTATCAAAAATATGAAATTAAACAGGAAATTATTAAGATCAGTTCTTTGTTGAAGTAGAAAAAGTTTGACCATTTATTCCGTTTAATAAAGAACCTACTACTATTTTTTCTTAATATTACTCCTGTATCTGTAAGTAACCTATACTTTTTATCAATTAAAAATGAAATTACTACTGATAAATTATTAATTAATTGATAATTTTTTGCTGTTACCATAACTTCTAAGGATCTTTGTTTTTCTAATCGGATTGGGTGCCCTCCACTGACGAATCGGCGAACGAGTTTAAATTTTTTCTACTTCTCTTTTTCTCTTCGGAATCGGAATAAGAATTTTTTTTAACTTAAAGCAAGTATCACGAGTATATTCTACTTTAACAAAATATTTATTTATTTTTACTGTAACTACTGGATGGCTTACGATATTCTTTAAAATGCATATTAGAATTTCGACATGATTTAGTACTTTCGGTTTCGTATATAATCTAAATATTTTTTTTGCTCGCCTCGAAAATGTTGCCAACATTTTTCTATTCTTTTTCAATAATGATTCTTCTTAAATTTTGCGGAAGATGCGCAAATTTATTTTGAATCGCATCTTATGAGATTCTCAAAAGACTTATGAAGGCCATAAGCACCTTGTAACACTATGAATAATTATTCAGCAGCAACAATAAAACGTGCCGAAATATGTCGTTTACACTGTAAAAAATGTGCATTCAAATTAACAAAAAAGTTTACTTTTTGAGAACGATTTAATTAAAGATTGCTAAGATTTTACTAGGTCAGAAGAAAACGTAAATAAACATACGAAGAATAAATATTCGATAATGTCGGGTAGCTGTGTTTAATGATATGGACCTGTTTAGAATTCATTGAATTGTTAGTGTAATTAATATAAATTTCTAAAAAAAAAAAACATTTGTCTGCCAATATCCTATACCTACTAGGTACTTCACATAAATACTCAAATGATGGCCTTTGAAATTTCAACCCTGAATCGCATTGCTTAACACTGTATCGATCCGCTTTTAACCATAAATGAATCGCGAAATTATAAAGCGAATGATTTTGAGATTTTAACACCAACGCATGTCCCAATAATTTTAAAAAAATCCGACTCAGTTCTCATAAAAATGCTAAATTTGTCCAAAAGCGATTTACTCATGAATAATTATAGTTTGAGTCATTATTCTGTCTATAAAAACTTAAATTGACGTGTAAAAAATGACTTTTCAATTTGAATTTGGTCCTGAGAAAGTTTAGGATCGCAATGCCATCGGTTAGGTTATCTCGATTAGGTTCTTTTTCCCAAAAAAAAATTGTTATTTATTTTTATGTTTAATTTCATTTCCTTGTTGTTTTGAGTAGTAGCATAGTTGAGGACGCCTGGAAAGTCTTTAGTCCCGTTATCGTTACCATCTAGTTATTTCCAAGTAAAATAGAGGGTTCCTCCAAAAAGAATCCTTGATGAGAAATTTCAACTGTTTGAAAATTATTTTGCATTGGCCGTTTCCGATCCCCACAAATACATACTTACATAATTTTATTTTATCTTACGGATATTTCTTTTTTCCCGATTTACCTAATCACAAACGGTGATACAAATGGTTTAGTTCCGACTCGTCGACCGGTCTTACCTATTTATTTACTTTGTTATAATCGTTTCATCATTTATTAGAGATGGTTATTTTTATAGAGGATGTATAAATAAAAATTACTAGAAGACGTGTTCGTACATGTTCTCAAATGTGCGTTATACGAGATGAAATTTGTTGAACTCTCAGTTGTAATCTAGTTATATTAATATACTTTTCAAGAGTTGGTGAAGAGGGAATCTAAAACACCGCAATATAATAAGGTTGTCGAATTAGTACCTATTAAAATAGATAGAAATTTGAAAGTGAGAGAAACGGGAAATCGCCGATACAAATTATAATGCTAACAGCTAGGATCAAATCACCTTTTTGGATAATTTGGAATTTAGTACGCCTAAGACACTTGCGTAAGATACGAAGTCTATAATTTTTTATATAAGATTTTATAAATGAGTATTTTGTTTTGGAAAAATTTTTAAATGCAAAATGTAGTTGCCAGATAATACAGAATGACGGCGATACCAGAAACCACAATAATATAAATGAAATAAAGAAAATAAATGGTTTAACTGTGTTACTGGCTGACTGCTTGTCAAATTATTTTTTAAATGTTTAATGCTTTTTATAATTCCGCTCTGCAATTATTATTTTGAAAGATAATGTCTTCTTATTTGAAAAATTATTCGCAACATTAAGAATGAAATAAGTTTAAAAGCGTTTTTATTTAATTAATATTTAAAACAAGTTTCATAATGTTCTTATCGCAAGTCCTCTTGAAAGAAATAAGTGGATTCATTTTCCATAATTTTATTTATAATAATTAGTCTTAACAATTGTTTCGCAAGGGCATTTTTACATCAACATTAAGGTTATGACCAAATTTCAACTAGATTTAGATTAATAGGCTCGTGTACAATCTTCATTTCGTTCAGATTTGAAAATGAGAAATCTTAATAGGTGTGCTTCCTAAAGAGTTTAGTGATGTTATATTTTGTGAAATAAAATACTTTTACTTACTTCCCATTTTATTTAGATATTGCGATTTCAGAATCAGGTAGATTATTTTCACTAATAACAACTTCACTGTTTCGCTAGAACTTATCCTGCATACCTTAATTATATCTACAAAAATACTGAAATAAGGTGTATACCCACAGCGAAATATTAGACAATCATTCACGATACTGATCAAATGACAGTTACTGATTTCCACTTATTAGATAACCGTACAGATAACTGAAACAATACAAGTCTGAGCAATTAAAATCATTCAATCGAAAAAGTATACGTAAAGGTAAACACGAGAAACATTACTCGTATTATGAAGGCAATGAAGTTAGTTAACATTTCTTGCTTCTTCTATATAGCTAACATCGCCTTTTAAAACTGTAAAAAGGGATCATACTCATTTTTTATTTAACTTTACGTATTATATACCAAGCGTATTTTTCAGATTTACAAATTTGGCTCCTGTGAAGCTTTCCTAATGTATTCTACACTTTCTTCTCCTGGTGAAGTCGACAAATAATTGGCGAAAATTTGAGTACTTATTGAAAATAAATACTTAATAGCATGATTCGAGGTGCATATAACGTGGGATCATGTCAACCGCACTGATTAGTAATTTTCAGAATGTTAAGTTAGTAGTTTCGAAGTATTACAAATATGTTTGTAATGTGTATGCGATGAAGATCAATAAGGGAAGGCGACCACAGAAGCTGTAAATTATTACGTACATGACACACTGAGGCGATCAATGCGTCGCTAGAAAGCGATGGCACGGTCATAAATCATACGCAGAACGACCGCATAACAAAAGAATTTCGAGTGATTACCAGAAAAATGAAGATAATTAATCCAGAAAATTCGGTGATAGTATAAATATATTACTGGTCTTCGAGGAAGCCAGCAAATGATTAGTGCGAATAACTAAGCGAATGCAGAGTTATTAACACTGTGTCAACTAAACAAATATGACTAAACAATTATAAGTGGAATGGTTTTACTAGATTTTGTAGTAATCCGATTTAAATTTTTCGTGTCTTCAATTAAGGAAATACATGTATATTCTATAAATAAACAGGGTTTGTAACTAAGTGTGGAGCCTGCAGAAGATAATAGGGCACTTTACTATAAAACAAGAGAATTAAGTAAATGTCTGTATATCCGAAAGCTCATTTTCGAGAAAAACGTAGATGAAAGTTCAGGTAAATATATTCAATGAGCTGGTAATTAGCAGTATTAGTATTGTATTTCTTTTGTATTCTATTGCTCATAAATTGTTATTTGTCGGATTAAATTGTAAAAAAGTGTAATTGAAGATGTCTATGTTACAGTCAACCTATAGTAGTTGTTTGTTCATTTAACGCTAATATATTGTATTTAGTCAATCGATGTGTAGTTTAATAAACTAATTCAACAATCAGTCATTAGACTAGGCTAACATGTATCTGTAGAACAGTTGTTACAATGATGTGATGTGATACTTATTTACGAGTTTGAACCATTTCGCCACTGCAGAGGACTAAATCCTTGATTTCTTAGAAGACAAACACCAAAACAGAGTGGTAAATTTTAAAGGAACAATTGCTGCATCCTTATCATTTGCAGCGAGTACAAGTCTTGCTGTAAACTTATTTACAGCCGCGAGTGGATTTGTGCTAGTGGTTTTGAATGAAAAGTAGTGCAAAGTCAAGTTTTTTATAGGGTGTTGTTTACAGATAAATGTTTGTATATCGTAACCATGACATGCCGGAAATAAGGCTTTAGGAAGCGAATCTCAATTAAGTTTACATTAGATGATAGTGAGCGCGGTGGAAACAAAAAAGTTATTAACATTTGAAAAGTGGTGTTAGAGGCACTTAATGGAAGCACTGTGGGTAGAGAAGGTTAGAAGTGAGAAGATACTGGTAAAAGTATAAAAACGGATGATGCTATGGAAAAGGAAGCGTCAGATGGTATAACACCTTCTGAAAAATGAAGAAAGGAAGAAGTGAGAGCGATATTACAGGCGAGAGCAAAATTAAAGGAGGAAGCGTTGTTGATATCTCTGTTTGTATTGTAGCGACCGCGAGCGTGATTGTGTGCGATCGGGTATACGTGTGTGGGCGCGGGCGCTTTTCTTCATGTGCGCCGTATCTGTAAACGTGTGTGTCGTACCTGCGTTCCGGGAAAGCAATTAAACCGTTCAAAGAAAACGAGACTTCTCTGGAAGGCTGAAGAACGTTCCCGAAAGGAGGCAAGGGAGTATAAAAAGGAAGAGACGATCGCCGAAGTGGAGTAGAAATAAATTGACCGTTGCAGAGGTGAATCAAGAGATAAATTGAAAGTGATAGAAGTGAAATAAATAG